GTTGTTTGATTTTGCTCACCAAAATTTCACGTGTTGGAAACGTAAGCTCCAAATTCATAGGTTGATAGTATTTGGTGATGGGGACCTTGAGCAGTAGTTGGGATTACTTTGGGGTGATGGGGTGAAGGATAGAGATGCAAGCCAGCAAGGTTGTTTTGTCAAAACATGTGGGGTGCCCTTTACTTTAACATGCTGAGCAGATGTTGGTATCATGATGGTGGACTTTGCAACCTCCAGAGTTGTAAACCAATGCACGTCTATTCCTGAAAATTGCCTAGACTCGGGGATTCTGTTACAGCAACAGAAACTAAACCAGGACCCCAGGTTGTGTTTCCTAGACTAACTTGACCATTAAATCTGTCCGTCTTGAAGTACCACTCAGGAGATATTGTTTCTGAGGAGAGAGCTGTTTGGAAAATGTTTTTCATCTTCATATCATCCAAATGAATAGCAGCAAATGGCTTTGAAAAAGTGAGGCAAGAGGGAGATTCACAGCAGTTCTGGGCTGTCACTATTAGAGCAAGAACACAACTGATGGGCCAAATACTAGGTTTCAGCTTAGAAGACAGAGTTATTCCTGACTCTGTCCCATAGCTTACAAAATTTGTTAGGCAAATCATGCTACTTCTGGGCAACAGACTGGTCTTCTGGGTAGAAAGGATGCCTTAGAAAAAACCACACCCCATTCCTTTAATCTACTGGCAACCTTAGGAAGTCTGAGAGGCAGGGTAAACTTTTTGGTTTAAAAAGTAATCTTTGGGAGCTGAGGGTATGGTTCAACATAAAAAGTTTGGTTAGCACGTTCAAAGCCCTGAGTTCAACCACCAGCATTCCTTTCCTGCAAAGCAGTCTGGGTAGATTAATGCTCCTAAGTTTAATATATATATAATTTATTTTTATTTTATGTTCTTTGGTGTTTTGGCTGCATGTATGTCTGTGTGAGGGTGTCAGAATCCCTGGAGCTGGAGTTACAGACAGATGTGAGCTGCCATGTGGGTGCTGGGAATTGAACCTGGGTCCTCTGGAAGAGCAGCCAGTGCTCTCAACTGATGAGCCATCTTTCCAGCTTGCACCTAAGTTTTTAAGGTCCTCTTTCAGGTGTGCTTTGCTGATGGCAGCATGAGACTCTTGAGAAGTCCAGCTCTGGGATCTCAAAGCTCACATCCAGATTTCTGAATGAACCCTGGAAACCAAATTATGTCAGGGTCATAACTACACCTTCCCACTGAAGTTGTGAAGTCATATAAAATTCCAGAAGCTATAGATCTATGAGATTATTAGCAAGCAAGAAATGGAACTTGAGATGTCCTATTTGAAACCCAAATTACTCGCTTGCTTTTCTGAACACTGTACCATGTTTCCAGTGATACAACTCGGTGATTTGCAGTGTTAAATGCAAAATTCACTGTAGCTCAGCACAGCCCATGCCATTCAACTCCTGTTCTAGAGTCACAGAGGAGAGATCACTTCTCGATGGATTCTAGGGGGAGAGCCCCTTTGGCTCTGGTCTTGAAGCAAGGCTCTCTTTAGCTGGCTAACTCAGAGTTTAGGGGAGAAATTCAGCAGTGTCTTACTGTTGTAACTACTGCTCTAGGGGGCACTAAGCTGAATGCATGCTTTCTTCACCATCAAAACAGAAGTCTGCTAAAAGAATAGGATCAGCTAACAAACGTTTACAAAGTGGATTTAAAAGATATCTGTCCATTGTAATAACTGATAGAAATTGTAGTCTCTGCATCAGTGACAACAATATTCATTTAGTATTGTGTGTATGTGTGTGCACATTGGTGTTTAAGCGCAAGTGTACATGTGTGGTAGCAGGGGACAAGCTTAGATGTCATTCTTGAGAGGCTATCTACCTTCTCTTTTTTAAAGACATGGTCTCAGTGGTCTGTAGCTCACCAAGCAGGCCAGGCTGTCTGGCCAGCAAGCCCTCAAGATCTGCCTATCTCTGCCTTCCTGGTGCAAGGATTACAAGTGTGTGGCACCGTGCCCAGCTTTTTTTTTTTTTTTATGTGGGTTCTGGGATGAAAAACAGGTCCTTGTGCTTGGAAGGCAAGCCCTCGATTGACTGAGCTCTCCAGCAGTTTAGACCGCCCTTCCATTACAGCTCGGTGACACCACAGTGGCTGAGCTGTCAGTCACCTCTGAGCAATTGTGGAGCCGTTGTACTAATCCAGTGTAATATGTTTTAGTGAGCAGGCCTCTGCCATCTGGCCACTACCACTATCTTTCCTTCTTTATGGATACATGTGGCCCAGCAGCATTGAGATGCAGAGAGCTATCATGAGCCTGTGCGTCAATTCCAAAGCAGTTTGAGAGGTCAGACCATTCTCTTGTTTTTAACACAAAGCGTTCTCTGCGTAAGAAAACAATGAGCCCAACTTATCTTTCTCTTTCCTGTCCTAGTATCTTTGGAAACGTCCACAGTGAAAGCATATTAAAGGCTTACAATATTAAGTGAGCCTTCAGGATTGTTAACGAGGATGGAAACAGGAGCAAGCCATGTCTCTCTCAGTTCTGGTTCCAGTAGCATTGTTCTTGAGTGCTTTGGAGGCGAAGCCACGGGAACAAGCCGTGGGGCGCTATGTCAGAGAACGTCAAGGGAAAGAGCAATTCCCAAACTAAACTTTACATCATGCTCCGGGCAAGCAGATCCTCTGCCAACCCAGAGTCAGGACCAGGAGCACTGAGAACAGTGAGGGACACCCAGCAGGGACTCAGTAGATGTTGGCTAGATGCTGCCATCTGGGAAACTTGTGAGTAGTTGTCTAAACGGCTGCTGCAAGTGTGCTTATCTCAGTGACTGTAGCCCGGTGTCGTGTGCACTGGATGTATGCCCGCACCTAGCTCCCACTCTCTCAACCAGGGTGCTGTTGACATCTTGGGCTAGATAATTCTGTTCGGGAAGGAGCAGGGAATGCCCTTCCGTGCATTGTCTAGGCCTTAGCTCTAGACCCTGGTTTCCACGCACTAGATCCCAGTGGTGCTCACCAATCCTCATAGCACAAAAATGTCTCCAGACATCACTAAATGTCCTGATGTCAGGGCACTATGTAAAATAACCCCTGGCTGCATCTAGTCTTTATGTGCATGGTAGCTATCAGCATTGGAAAGATGACACTCTTACCTCTCTTTTCTCTCTCTCTCTGTTGCCCTCACCCTACTCAATATTTCCCTTCTTTATTTTTTAATTTAATTTTTATTTTATTTATGTATATGAGTGTTTTGTTGTACACCACAAGTGTTCCTGGTGCCCATGGAAGCCAGAAGAGGGCATTGCATCCCCTAATACTGGAGTTACAGATGGCTGTGAGCCACCAAGTGGGTTCTGGGAATCGAATCTGGGTCCTCTGGAAGAGAAGCCAGTGCTGTTAACTTCTGAGCCATCTCTCCAGCCCTCTTTCTTGTCTTTGAGTCAGTATTTCACTGATTCAGATCAGATCACTATTTGATCTAGTTGTTGAAAGCATTAGAGTCTCTTGGTCTGCTTTCATGTAGTTTGTTGTGTTCATATACTTAGAAGCACTCTCCCTGGGTGCTTCTATGAAAGTTAAATAGACCTGTTTCCCCTCTCTCCCTGCCCAGGGGAAAGAAAATATATATGAATTGGACCATTGGCTGGCAAGGCTGATTTACACAATGGATGTGGCCCGACTTTGGGGCCAGGAAAGAGAATAGACCCACATCCCTAAATGGAATTTGTGTGTATGTGAACCTCAAAGCATCCTTTGTGTTCAGAGGAACTATCTTCCTTTGCCTGCTACACATTCTTGGAACCTTAACACCAAACCTCCATGATTTTGTGTGTGTGTGTGTGTGTGTGTGTGTGTGTACACGAATGTATACACGTATGAATTCATGTATATGTGTGTGGAGGCCAGCGGTTGATGGCTAGCATCCTCTTTTATCACTTCTCCATTTTCTTTGTGTCTGTGTAGTGTACATGTGTGCATGGGTAGTATGTGTATGCATGTACATGTGTGTACACCTGCCTGTGGAGCATAGAGGTTGATGGTGGGCACATTCCTCCATCAATTATCCACCTTATTTGTGTGCACGTGTGTAATGCACGTATTGTGTACGCGCGTGCGCGAGTGCGCGCATGTACGTGTGTGTGTGTGTGTGTGTGTATATATATATATGCGGAGGCCAGAGGTGGACATCAAGTATCTTTTGCTGTGATTCTCAATCTTATCTTTTTCACTATTAATTAGTTAGATTCGCTAGTTGGCCAGCAGGCCTTGGGGATCTGTCATGCTTTGTAGGTGACAAGGATCTGAGCTCAAATCCTAATGCTTGTATCTCAGGCAGTTTACCAGCTGAGCCACCTCTGAGGCAGCGTTTCTCACTGAACGCGTGGCTCGCCCCCTTGGCTAGAGTGGCTGGCCAACCAGATCCGTGGATTCTCCAGTTTCCACCTCCAGCACCCTCACACCCAGCTCTGGGGGGGGGGGGCGGTGGAGGGACGTCTGAACTGAGGTTGTCAGGCTTGCACTTCACCCACCAGCTCACCTCCTGGACCGTCTCCTCATGGCCCTTTCAGGAGCTTGTCTCTCCCCTTGGCTCTGTTTTTGTTTACTACCTATTTACATTATGAATATCAGGAAGATAACAGGATGTGCTTCGCAAGCAAGCTGTCTCCACAAATCAGTAAATATCTCTGCTAGCTGGAGGGACCAACCACCTTTAAACATCCCAAACAGAGTGATGGTAGGTATCTGCTCTTTCTTGCAAACAAAAAAGCAAAACAAAGCAAAACCTAGAATCTTAGAATTCTGACTAAAATCCAGCCAGTGGGCAGTCTGCTTGCTTGAGAACAACTACACATCCATGTCCAAGAGTGAGAAATAATTTATGACAAAGCTCACGAAAAATTCTAATTTCGTTCATGTTGCGACAAGTAATAGCTTTTAGTTCATGCTTTTAAAAAAATGTGGGCTGGTAACATTTTTCCTCCTCACTTTCCTTACAGTGTAGAGTTAAACAGGTGTCCTTACCTCTCCTCCGGTGCACGGAAAAGGATTTGAGTATCTAGACGTGCAAATAGCTCCTTTCTTGACAATGTCATCTTCCAGGCCAAAAGTAGCTGAGCAGTTTGTTGCAAAGTACTTGTAAGGCTGCCAGGTCTTCCCAAAGTCCTGGGACCGGTCCAGCACCATGGCGGCAGGCCTGGGAGACTTGAACACCATGATTAAGTGAGTGAAGTAGAATTCCGCTTCCAGGTCTAACTGGATCTTTTCTCTGTGTACATCCTCCGCAGACTGCCACCAGGTCCGGGGGAACCTGAACGAGGAGTCTGCCATGGCGGAGGGCAGGTGGGCCAGGTGGGAGTGGGCAGCGTTGCACTTGTCACACTTGGGCTGCCGGCAAGTGAGATCAGTGTTCTCGCTGTAGAAGCAGAACAGTTCCGTGGCATTCTGACCACAGGTGGTGTCAGCGCGGAGTCGCCTCCCCAAAGCCAAGTTTCCCATTCGAGGGTTGCAGGCCTTCTCGCAGCGGGAATTTGCTCCAGCTACTCTGTTCAAGCCTGAGGAGGGGGAAGCATATGTCATGCAAGACATACAGGAACGGGAATGCCCTCCGGTGCCCCCGTTTCCTCAACAAGAGTCAAGGTATCCTCCGAAGACCCTGGGCCTTTCTATAAAGAGAAGAACTTGCCTAACTGGACCATGAACACTATCATGTACTCACAGTGATTCGTGTATTCAAGAATGTGTGCGCTTGAAAGATAGATGACAGTGTGTTCCTGTGTGCAACTGAATGTGTGTACAGGTGGGTGTGTACATGTGTGCATGTGGAGTTCTGAATAACTTGGCCATTGCTCCTAAGGCTCCATCGACCTTGTTGCTTTGAGACTTACCTTTATGTGCTTGTGTGTGTGTGTGTGTGTGTGTGTGTGTGTGTGTGTGTGTGTGTATGTTTACTGCACACGTGCAGGCACATAAAGAAGCCAGAAGAGGGTATTGCACCCCCTGGAACTGGAGGGACATATGGTTGTAAACCACCAGACTCCAGTGCCAGGAACAGAACCCCTGACCTCTGCAACGGCAGCAGCTGCTCTTCACCACTGAACCATCTCGCCAGCCCTCCACCTTGTGTTTTTGAGACAGGGTCTCTCCCTGGCCTGGGATTTGCCAAGTAGGCTAGACTGGCTAGCCCATGAAATCTTCAGAGGTACCGGTCGCTGCCTCTACAGTGTTGAGCTGTAAGTGCACTGCCACACCTCGCTTTTTTATGGGGTTGCCAAGGACTGAACTCAGCTTCGTGGCAAGCATTTTGGCAACTGCGCTAGGGGTCTCCCCGTTTCCCTCATGAGATATATACACACACACACACACACACACACACACACATATATATGTATATATATATATATATATATATATATATATATATATATATAATGTATCGACTAAAGGAGTAATTCTCTAGGAAAATTATCTCAAGATATTTAATAAATATACAGTAGAACTTTATCTCATGTGGCAAAGTTATAAACCACTGGATCTCAAATGTGTGATATCCATGTCTAATATTAACTAAATATTAACTATGAAAAAAAAAAAACCTCCAACCCTCCAAACTGCCAAACGACAGCAAAGCTTATTGTAGCTGCTTTCTGCCTCTTGAGTGCTTCTGGCTGTGACAGCCTGTTAGCGCTCCCCTGTTTGCTTAGCTGGACAGTGCTGACGGTCTGGCACACCAAGTACACCTCTAACAACTGTCACAAACGGAACACCTTTTTAAAGAAGCAGACTCGGCCTCCCGAAGTTCCAAACCACCGTAAGGCTTCCAAAGTACTTAGAGTGATAAACAGTACCCGCCTAGTCACATTCTGACTACACGTCCTAATCCCTTAATTCGGGTTTGCCATTTTAGTTATGAATACCTTAGGCAAGAATCGTCCTCTTAAGAAGAATTAAAACACAGAGGAAAAGAAGGAAAAGGAAAACCAAACCCCAAATTCTGGCTAATTGGATGTTTCTGCCTAAGAGACAGAACCTCTGGGCTGTTATCATGGGGGCATTGGATGGAGCCAAATGACAACTTTGCCTGGAAAGGGGAGATTTTACCCACTGACAATCATCACCTCCCAAAATAAGGGGTCTCCTCAGGCATTACTTTTTTGGTGTCAAATGAAAATGTGCATTATGCCCTGACTCTGTTTGCTATTGTTCTGATTAGCAGGCACAGTAGCTGCCTGTGGCCAGAAACACACAAACACACACTGTGCTATGACTCACCTATGAAGTGTTTCAGGGAGAAAATCACTTACTGCCTGTACAAGTATCTTTGATTTGCAACACTCACCTTGTGACGTTTATTTACAACCTTTTGATTGCTCCCATGATGGTTTTTTGTTTGTTCGTTTTGTCATAACATGGTTTTGTCATAAAGGGAAAAGTTTATGAAAAGTTCTTTTGGGTTGAGGGAGCGTGGCCGTGCAATAAACAAAAAGGAGTGTGATCAGGAAGAATTCAGGCGATGTCTTTAACAGTGAGCCGTTTGACAGATTTTGGAGGGGATAATGAGTGATTTCAAAGTTTTTACACACTAACAATTTGACAATAAATAGTTATCAGTGAGCAAAACCAGTGGGGACCCCTGAAGAACTGACTGTTAGGGGGGCGGGAGTACACCCTGCTGGAGGACGCAGATTCTCAAGCCTGGAGTTAGTTGCCAGCAGCCCTGAGGAGACAGTGGAAGAGCCAAGCGAAGAGATGCCTGCCACAGACTCTCAACCTTTCAGTTTTAACTCACACTGCCCTTTCTGGAGCAAGTCAAGCCCATCTGAGGCGGGGATAAAATCAGACTCCTTCACAATTTCCCCCCTGTACCCCACTGTGCTGTACTTAGCCCAACTGAAAACCAGGTGGCCTGCCAGAAGGGAGGGAGAGACACAGAAAGGGCCTCCGGGACTCAGAAACAGGGAGCCTGGAACCGGTGGCCTAAGGGCAGTCCAAGAGAGCCAGGACCAGGGGGGGGGGGGGGGGGCATCTGTCCGCTGCCTGTAGTCCAGTTACTGAGCCAAGGAGCAGACCCGCCTCCGGCCTCCTGCAGAGCCTCGGCCAGGGTACCGATTCCCCAGGGCGCTCAGCCAGCTCTGGGTAATCACCACCTGAGTGACCACCCCCCATGGTCCCCAGCTCCGAGTTCTAGCAGCCACCGCCCCGGGAAGAGGGCGCTCACCCTCAGCCCAGGTGGCCCTACCTGGTTCCCAAGTACATGGAATGAGACCCGGGGAGGTGGTGATTGCTCTAAATGAGAGCGGTCTCAGCCCACGCAAGCCCGGGGTCTCTGGGCCATCCCTCCTCGTCACTCCTTAGGCCATGGAGAGCCCGGGGATGGCGAGCTGGGTCCTTTGTTCCCCTCACCAAGCGCAGAGGCAGTTTCTCTCCCCTCCCACCCCCGTCCCCCAAGCCAAACCCAGAAAGAAACACTGATCTCCGTATCTCTCGCAGGGCGTACCCAGGATATCTGCTTATTCAAAGACTTGTGTATCTCAGTTGCAGAGGGGGAAAAAAATCAATAGTGTTTGAAACTGCGGGGTCGCGGGCAAAGGAGACGGAACATGGCCACTCGCTTCATTCTCGGTAGCCGAGCTCTGGGCTCCCTGTCCGGGCTCCCCCTCCATCCCCCAGTCCCCGAGCTGGAGAGGGCAGGAGCAAGGGAAGAGGGGTGGGGGCCCGGCCGCGTCACCACCCACCTGCGGCCACCGCCGAGCAGCCCCAGAGCAGCAGCAGCCGTGCGCAGCTCCCCATGGCCGGGCAGCGGCGGGAGCGGGTGGGCTGAAGCGGCAGCGGTCCTCGGGAGCACCGGGGGCTCTGCGGTCCTTCCTCCTCCCGGGGCGCCGGGCTCGCTCAGCGGGCGCCGTGAGCGCGGAGCCGCGGGCCGGGGCCGCGCCGGGCGGCGGGGTGACCGTCGCGCACCGGCCTGGCGGTGCCCGGGCAGCTCAGGAGCGGCGGGAGCCCCGGGACCATAGCCGGCCTGGCGGCTGCCGGCGGAGCGGCCGTGAGGGCGGGCGCGCTGCTCGCCCGGGGCTCGGCGCCCGCGGCCGACGCTGAACTTTGCGAGACCTTTCACTTCCCGGCCGCCGCCGCCGCCTCCCGGCCGTCCTCCTCCGCTCTCCCCACCTCCTGCGGCCGCCGCGGCTCGGTCCCGTCCTTTTCCACGGGCAGTTCCATGGGATGCATTTTTATTGCACCGACGCCGCGGCGCTCCGGTGCCAGCCCTCCTCCTCCCCTCGCACCTCCACCCCTTCCTCCCGCCCGCCCCCCGCGCTTGACAGCCCGGGCGGTGCAGGCGCGCGCGCGGTCCGGCCGGCGTCGCCGCCGCCCCGGGAGGGGGTCCCTGCGCCCCCCCCCGCCTCCGCGCGCATCTCCCCACCTGACCTCGTGGGTGCCCTCCAGCACCCAAGGGCCTCTCCCGGGAAACAGTCTCCCACCTTCCCGGGAACATTCCTGAGAGCAGTTGACTCCCTCCGGATCAGGTCAGGGCATGCCAAGGGGCTTAGAAAACCGCGAAACAGGCGAGCTACGACTTTCCAGAAACCACCCAGCAAAACAAGCCTTCACCCCACCACGCCACGGAACCCATTCTCTGCGAGTCTCGCGCTCTGAGTTCGGAACCCCCCCCCCAAGTTCAGCCCGTGGGGTACTGGCACCGGGCGTGCCAAGTGCAGCCCAGCTCCCAGCTGCTGCCTACAGGAGCTGAAGGTGTGCTGGTTCCAGGGTAAAGGGTGTTCTCTCTCACCAAACTCGAGGGCCTGGAAGACCAGGATTCCTCATCATGGAGTGGACTGTTCGAGGACATCCCAGTCTGGAGCAGGGGTGTAACAAAGAGAACGCCTGGGTCCTCGGTGCATTCACATTCACATGCCGGGGAATGACAAGGTTATGAAATATCTTATGGGGAGCAATTTAGCAGCAACCACAAGCAGCTAATTGTAGCTCAGGGCTGGTGTTTATGGAGGGAGATTAAATAGCACTTCAACCTGCCACTGAAAATATAGTTCTCTGGAAATATAATTCTGCTTACACATCCAAGGAAATTGGCAAAAGTTAAGTCGAATGCAGTTTTGCACTGCAGCATTTAGTGTGTGCCTTTGAATATTTTCCAGAAAATTAACTGCTTAACAGATACCATTCAGTTATTATAAATCATCAGCGTTTCAGACGGGTCCAATTAGGGCGTTAGGGACACATGTAGATGTTATTTAAAATGACCCAGCTGTGAGCATATAAATTTCTATCTCCCGAAAGGAACTGAGTTGAGGTTAGCATAGACACTTGGGAGGTGTTAAAATTATTGTTTTGGCCAATACTGGAAGTGGCAGACGACATGGGAACCGTCAACAGCTTCAGAAAACAGACTCTGTGAGCTTTCAAATACTGGCAACAGTGGAGCCTTTGGCTCTCGCATATAATGCCCCTGATGAAGTTGCTAAAATGCCTCTCCAACTGTTCTTCCTATTAAACAAACGACAGGAAATTATAACAGACTAAGGCTCTCAGCCCAAATATTAGCCAAGAGAAAAGGAGAGAAAGACAGTATTTACTATTAATTTCTGAGTCAATATATTAAGTCGAGGCAGAGTTAATCCATGTCTGATTATGAATTTTAAAAGCATTTGCTGTCTGCACCAATGCTGTGTGCTTCCCTGATTGCTTTGCGACTGTTTTTTTTTTTTTCCTCTAATAAAATAGCAAGCTCCTTAAATGGCAGTTAGACACTTAGTCGCTGCAAGGCGAAATTATGTTTTTTTTTTTTTCTGACATCACTCATTATTCTTAACTGAAAACACCTGCCAGACATGCAGTAAATGTTCACTAAATGTTTTGACTGAGTTATCTCAAAACCACTGTTATATACTAAGAATAGAAACCGAGAAGAGAGCCAGTGAAATAAGAATGATTCCCAGTATTCTGGAGGGATGTCTGCTCTCTATATCAATACTTTGTGTGTGAACTAGCTCAAGACAGAAAACAATGAGCATTCTAATAAAGGTTATTCGGGTGCAGTGTCATGGTTCCTGCCTGAAATCTCAGCACTTGATAGTAGAGGCAGACAGATCCTGCTTTCAAGACCAGCTTTGCCTCATAGCAAATTTGTGGCTAGCCAGAACTACCTGAGAACCTGTCTTGAAAAATAAAAAGTGCTTATTTAGTATAAGTTGTCACAAATTATATTTTCACTTTGCGTAAGCACCCAAAAGAGCTGATCAACGTAAAAGGAAAATGTGCTCAGGGGTGAGGACATCGCTGATTATGATTCCATGGGATGAAATTTTCAAGAACTAATTCAGAATTTTCTAAGTGTTGTGGATTGGGTAAATCACAGGATTCCAATAGCGGGTTTCCAAAAGCTGTAAATTGACAAATTTAACGCAGCACATGCCTGATAGGAAGGGTGATCATTGGAAGGGTGTTCAGATGGCCTCTGATATCTACGATAGAAGGCTCAAGTCCACACACCAAAGACCTCGCTCACGAGTACCCCTAGGTCATACTTGAATTTCAACTCCACTCTCAGTGTGTGCTTAAGGTGCTTTTCTGGGGCCCTGAAAATAACAAATAGAATAACAAACTCAAGTGGAAGAGGATCCTGTTGAGGAGAAGGAGTAAACCAAGGCAGCCTAGGAATCAAGAGGACAGTGAAACTAGAACAACAGGCATAGAGACAAAAGCATTCTCAGCAATGTCCACCCCTCCTCAAAGCACTGAGGCCTTTTAGTGCAGAGACAAAGCAACGCAAAGCTGTAAAGAGACTACTCTATAAAAATCCAGTACAAAAACCTAATGGCCAGAAGATATTCAGAACCAGATGGGACCCGGGGCCCCAGCGTCTCACCCCACAAGGAGACCTGCTTTCACTATGAAAGCTCTGCCTGTTGGCCTTGCAAATGTTCTACAGTGCATTCCAATAAAAGAAAGAATCAAGAACATCCCTTCTATTTTCAACACTGCTTTTATTTAACTGTGGTGTTTACCTACTTATAGGTATTTGCAACTCTACAGAGAAAATACAAGTTCTCTCTTTTAATTGTGTGTGTGTGTGTGTGTGTGTGTGTGTGTGTGTGTGTGTGTTGAGACGGGGTCTCATGAAATGGCCTAGGTTGGCCTGGACTGGAATCCTCTTTTAAGAACAGCAGGGTTGGGGGCTGGAAAGATGGCTCAGAGGTTACGAGCACTGGCTGCTCTTCCGGAGGTTCTGAGTTCAATTCCCAGCAACCACATGGTGGCTCACAACCATCTATAATGAGATCTGGTGCCCTCTTCTGGCATGCAGGTATGCATACAGACAGAACATATATATTGTATACATGATAAATTAATAAATCTTAAAAAAAAAAGTGAGGTGGTATGGCTGTTAAGGAGAGCAGTCTGTCAGTAGATGCTAACTTGGTAAACACATTCAGAGAATGTTTTATACCTGAACAATTACAGTTTTAACCCACTAAGTTCACAGGTTTAACCAGTGTCTATCTTGCTGTCTCCCAAATCTCACTTCAGCTTTGGGGCTGTATCATCAGCTCTCTGTGAGCAAGTCTTCCTAGGCACCTCAAGTTCAACACTGAATTAAATTCACTTCAAGTTCAAGCTAAGCATACTTTCTCCCTTGACGCATTTTCTCCTGCAGTCTATCGTAGTAGACGGTTCTTCATACAACTACAATCTTGATTGTCTCCAAGCAAAGTGAACTGTAACAAACAGTTACCATTATTATTATCATTTTACCTAATTAATAATTTCATGATAAAGCATCAGTATTGAGGCTTGGGAAGTGGTTCAGCAGGAAAGGTACATATGTGCCCCATGTGTGTCTGCTTCCCTCAGAGGCCAGAGATATTGGCTCCCCTGGAATTGGAGTTAGAGATGGTTGTGAGCCACCATGCTGGGAATCAAATCCAGGTCCTCTGCAAACGCAGCTAGTGCTCTTAAGATCTTAGGCTGTGGTTCTTAACCTGTGGCTCACAACCCCCTCAGGGTCACGAAGCAGACACCCTGCATACCCGATATTTACATTACAATTCATAACAGTTATGGATTACAGTTATGAAGTAGCAATGAACTACTTTTATGGTTGGGGGTCACCACCACAGGGGGAACTGTATTAAAGGGTCGCAGCATCAGGAAGGGCGAGAACCATGGTTCTAAGGCATCTCTACAGCCCCAACCTATTTTTTTTATATAGTTGTATTCATAAACACGTGTTTGCTCATGGAGGTTAGAGCACAGCTTTTGGAAATTGTTTCTCTCCTTCCATTGTCTCCTTCTACAGAGTATCAAACCCAGGTCATCAGGCTTGGTGGCAAGCCCCTTTACTCCCTGAGCCATCTCCCTGGCCTGACTGACCCTTACAAAGCAGCCTCACCCATGTGCTCATGTCCACTTATCCAGAGCTGGGTCAGGTAACTTCTTCAGACTGAAAGAAAGTTTGGGAAACCAAGACGGGCTAAGACTTTCATCTGGGTACACTGAGACCCTTAACCAAGTCAGGATTCTATTAAAAAGAGGGACGGCTGGATGTCAGGATAACATAGGTCTATGTATGTCATCAAAAGTTACCGATTTTACCCATGTATTTTGCTCAAATTAGCATATTCCATGGCTCCCTGCCCCTTGGCAGATGGATTCATGCTGCCTGGCTTGGCAGTCAAGCTTTCTACACTGGACCAGTTTGTGCCACGGGCTCTTTGGCACTCATAGTGAGCTTCCTGCAGTCTCAAAAATGAGCAGTCTCCTCTCCTTCTGGCTGACTCTGGCAGGTCCTTGGAAATCCCGTCCTGACAATAACTGCTGTGACGCCTTCCTTCCAGGGCTGTCTGCCCCTCTGCTTGCTCGTGGCACACATGTATTATGCCACTGTTCTCAGATATGCTTTCCCCCATATTGAGTAAAAACAGGCAGCAAATTTTAATATATGATTCAATTGTAATGAAGGTAAACACACCTAGGAAACAGGCCAACGACTAAAAAAAAAAAAAAAAAAAAAAAAAAAAAAAGGCAAGGAAAGAGATAACAGGCAGATCTCTGTGAGTCCAAGGCCACCCTGCTCTACAAAATGAGTCCACGACAGCCAAGACTTCACAAAGAAACCCTGTCTCAAAAAATAAATAAATAATGAATGATAGCACTTT